ACAGAGAGAACGTGTTAACGTAGTAATATTCCATTCTTTGTTTTTTTGAATGAAATACATATCGATAAAAGATCGTGTTGGGAATACACATTAACAAAACACTCTTACCTGCGGTTGCTCTGCTGTTTTAGAATATCGATTGGTGGCGCATTCTTCGGCGGTCGGCAATCGGTGAATGTTAACGAAATCCTCGCTCAGATTCTTCTTATAATACGAAATATATTTTCAATCTATGTCCGTGTACGTGTATCTTATCAAACGTATTAATTAATAGAGATTTTTTTCAATTACCTCGTTCACGTTCGACAGACGATAGTCACCTTTGTTTGTTCTTGATTTCTCCAGCATCGTTAACATCCGCGAATTCTGTTCCGAAATTCGAATTAAAAGATTTTGTTAAAGATTATATGAGTGAAAAAAAAAGGATTACACATATATATACATATATATCATATATAATATATATGTATATATATTCCTCTTACTGAATAGAGGAATCTTACCGCGGTATTTGTGATTTTAGCGTCACAAAATTTATTAATCTCAATCGGAGTTGAAAATCTCTTATTCAACGCGGCCACGTCATACAGTGCAAGGACATCCAGCTTAGAGCTTTGTTTCAGCATTTGCGACAAAGATCTGCCTATCTCCCCTGCCCCTCCGATCAATGCCAGCTGCATTTGTGATAAAAAAAAAAAAATGATAAGGAAAGGCTAGATACATTTTTATATTAATAAAGATCGCGCTTTTCATTTTGAGGAGATTGTTAAAAAATGTGAAATCGCGAATGGGAATTCGAAAAGGGGAAGGATGATAATGGAGGGGGATTCGTATCCTTGAGAAATTTCATGTTTTCTCAAAATAAATATTATACCTTGATGTTCTCTTCACCAGCGGGATATTTTCGCTGACCGATGGTTTTCACGATGGATTTGGCGGCCCGGGAAAACATTGTTATTCCTATTGGTGTATTACTGGAAATTTTTGTAACGCCTACATTGGGCGCCCGGTATGTCCAAATTATGGCGACTAACGGATCTCGTTACCAGGTGCAATGTTGCAATTGTTTCGCCAACATGTTTCTAAGCGTGCCATGACATCGGAAGAAACAAAATAATAACACCGAAGGAACGATTGATTTCCAATTAATGCGAATTAATTTGTCTATGAAATAAAATTTACGGTTGATGAAAAAAATTTTTATATTTTTATGTATATATATATTTAAGCTTCTTTCTAAAGAAAGGAAGAGGAAATGAATTTAAATTGTTCGCGCCCTTTTAAGAATCATCGTAGATACAGCCATCTAGCGAACGTATGGTGAAATGCAGAAATGCAAAACTATCGGTATCGTTGCAACGAATAGGTTTAAATATAGACAAAGACTATCAGCGCCATCTCTTGAGTGGCAAAAAACAGTTTTACGAAGGTGTTATAAAATAGGATAGGAATTGACTTTTAGCGCCATCTCTTTAATATCAAATACACTTTTACAAAGGTATGATACGGTAGGATAGGAATTGACATTTAGCGCCATCTTTTGGTTATTAAAAATGCCTGTTTAAAAAAGCACTCAAGAGATGGCGCCAGAAGTTAATTCTAACTCTATTTTTATCCTTCTTTTATTATTTACTCTCTTTATTTATATTGTGTTTCATTTGCGGCACTCCAGAGATGGCGCTGATTGTCAAATTTTTATTCTATCTCTGTCCTTGTCTCACTATTCTCTAGGTCTCCTTGTCTAACTTCGGCAAAATTATACGTTCAAGAAATAAATGCTCATCTATTTTTTATATTTCCTTTTCATCAGGTATTTATTTATACATTATCTTATATATATATTTATCATTTTACTTTTAAACTTTTATTAAACTTTTTTTATGTATAGAAAATCCTTAATATATGTATAATTATACATATATTATAGAGCATACTTTATACATATTTCGTAAAATTTTTGCAAATATTTCAAAAATTAAAGTCAACTGTTTGTTATATATAAAAAGAAAAGTTTTCTTAAAATATTGATTTTTATAATGATTTTTATAATATAATAATTCGATGATATTGATATCATCGAATTATTATATATCCTGTATATTTTATGTAAATCAGCATATATTTGATATTGCTTGTGGTTAGCTTTAAAGTTACTGTAGTTAACAACAGATGGTGTTCCTAATATCATTTCCCTCCAAAAGTTAGTACAGCAAGTAAAATTCTTACAGTCGCATGCGTCGTAAGTTATGTAGTGAGAATATATTAAAATTATTGTAGTAAACTTTGTTTATTATAAAAAATAAATATTAAATAATGGATCCAAGTGAAGTAGAATTTCTTGGTGAAAAAGAATTAGTCACTATTGTACCCAATTTTAGTTTTGACACAATTCATTTGATTTCTGGCTCGGTAGGTCCTTTTCGAGCTGGTTTACCTGTCAAAATTCCGATTTGGTTGGCTGTAAATTTAAAACAACAGCAAAAGTGTCGAATTATTAATCAAGAGTGGATGGATGCCGAAAGTTTAAATGAAGCGAAGGAAGAAGAAAAATTATCAAAGTAAGTAAAGATTTCGTTTTTTCTTTTTTTTTTTTTTTAGTAAAATACTTCTTAAAATAAAAAATTTATCGTTATTTATTATTTAGATTATTTACAAAAATGCCTAGTAATCATTATATGGATGAAACGCAACTTTTATTAAGTGCTGCAAGTGATGATATACACGAAGCAGATAAAATAAGAACAGCAGTGAAAGTAAGACAAATTATAATTATTTATATTTTTTTTAATATTAATATATCAATAATTTTTAGGATTTGTGGGATATAAGAATGTCAAAGCTTCGTACATCTATAGATGCATTCCTCAAAAGTGATGGAATGCATGCAAAATTAGATCATTTAACTGCTATGGAAATCAATAGTGTGCGCCCGTTACTTCCACATGCTCTTGATCAAATGATGAGAATTCAAACTGTAAGTATCTTTCATAAAAAAATAATTTTATTACTAGATTTATTTTGTTATTCATTAATTATTTTTTCAGATTGGAAAATCAACACAACTTCAACAACATTTAAATAAGGTATAATAAGCATTGAATATTTTCTTTTTTACATATTATTTTTTTGGAACGTAAATTATATTTTATATATATATATATATATGTGTGTGTATGTGTATATATATATATATTTATATTTATATATATTTATAATGTATTTATAATATATTTTCATTGATCTCATATGAAAAAAAAAGGAAATGGACAATAAAACAATTCATTTATATGTAATATATGAATGTAATAGTTTTATTATTTCTTATATCTTAGATCATTACATACAGTCACTAGCATCTCAATCACAATTTCTCATTATCACTAATGTGTGTAAATTCGTATTTACATCGGTAAAATTTATCGCTTCGATTAATTATATCGTATTTTTTCGGCGCTATGATCATTTTTTTTTTCTTCACAATATTTACATTCCTTAAACTTATAATACACAGTCCTTTAATAATCTTTGATTTGAATTCTTAAAGTAGAGTTTTCGTTTTAGCAAACTTAACATTGATCATTGGTTAAGTTAATCAATTGGAAAAAATTATTTTGCTTTAATATCAGTCAAAACTTAAATCTAATGTTAAGTTTGTAAATCGAAATATTCAATAAAGAACGTGGAAACTTATTATGAAATGAAAGATGAAAATAACTGGGAATTGTAACAAAGTAAAAATTCGATGTTATAATTGAAAGATGAAATTGTAAAATTTGATATAAAAATGCTCAATCAATAATTAACTTAATATTACATCTAAATAATTATAAGATCGCTTATTTATGATACGTTTCTTATTCAAATTTCTGAAATTACGTATAAATATTCATGAAGAAATAAAGATAATTGAAATTCAAAATTTCCCAATTCATATCCTTCAAATATTTCATTTCATTACTTACTATTGTTTCCTAAATGTTTCATGTATATTCTGACAACATTTCACTATACATAGTATACTATCAGTGCAATGACGTAAGTACCACGTGCTTTGTATATAAAGTACTTCTGCCTATCACATCAAGTATACAATTAATAAATATCAAGTACCATTAATCGTTTACTGGACTGACAATACATAAAAATAGAAAATGCGTATAAACCACATTGAAAAACACACATGTGCACGCGTGTGTAACGTAACAGTACTAAGTGGAACGATAGCGATTGAGATAATATGATACAACGTATTAAAAAATACGATTCTCGTAAAAAAATTCATTTTTTCAAACGGCTACTATTTTACTAGGATCAACCTTTACTCGGATGAACATGGTGTTATCCTTGACAAAATGTCGTTTCTTTACCATTTCATGAGAAACAAATCGAGGAAAACCAAAACCAAGGGAATCAGGTTCACGACTGGGCCTCTGAAAGTTCTTCCATGTTGGATCTGGTATAAAACTTTCTACAATATTGCACGCTTTTTCTGCGACTACAGTTTGATCGAATATGGTAAAAGACACGCTATGGGAAAATGGCCATCGCAACAGAGCGTCATATTCTCCGGGAAGAATCTTTATGTATATTGAAATATGACTTCCTTCGCCGGTTCCGTTTCCGTTTAAGAAAACTGACGCCTAAAATATTGAACATTTTATACAATTAATACAATTATTATAAATAATTATTTTAAATTCAATAATATTGCAAGCTTTAACTAAAGAAAAATGATTTAGAACGTTAAATATTATCTACCTGTAGCTTGTAACCATATTGACTAGTGTAAAAGGGAGGACTGACAAGTTCCATTCCTTCCTTAGCTTTCGCTTCGGACATTTTAGCACTGTAATCCGTGATTTTCCATATAAGCGTGCCTGTATAGTTTAACGATAGTTTACTAATAGCAGATTTCAAACTGGTTATTTGGTGCTGCTGTTTGGTTACCACACTGCACATCAAACTTAAATGCATCTTTGCTGATTCTTCCAGATGTTTGTCCAACGAGAATCTGTTTCCCTGTAACAATGGGTAATGTTATTTTACACTAATCTAAACAAAAAACGGAAATACAAAAATAATTTAAATTATTAAACAAAATGTATACCTTAAAACGGCAACCAGCATCTTTGAAAGTACAAGATAAGAGATGTGTAGTGCAATGATCTTTCAAATGGACTTCAAGATCTTCTCTTGGTAAAACTGCAGTTTCACAACGATGTGGACAAGCGACTGGAAAACGACCACACTTAGCATGATGAGCACCAAGAGTGTCAAAAACGAACTCTTTGTTACAATAACGACACGCCACCAATCTTTTCGCACATTCGCCCAACTTATGCTGACTGAGGTGCCTTCGTTGTACCTTCATACCGCATTTATTCTCGCAATAGAGCGGCTCGTAGCCACACGTTCCTGTGTGTTTCTATATACAAGAAGAAATAGAACTATCAGTTACATCATCAATCTTATTAAATTTCATCACGATACCAAGTTATCGTATAAAGTAATAAAAAATAAAAAAAATAATACTGACATATTTCCAAATTAAATCAAATTAAATTTCCAATTATAACCTATATAAATATTCGATGGAAAAACAATAATATCTATGCATTCTATTGAAACGAAAGAAAAAAAAAAAGGAAAAAGAATTTGAAAAATTTTATTTGAATTCATATGCTTTCATTTCTAACCATCCGTTCCCACTACAATACAGTTAATATTGTCTGGCACTCGATCGCGATTCTTTTAATTAATGCAGCGACGGTTACCTCGAGCGTGTGACCGGTGAATTCTTTGGCACAGAAGTCGCAGCGTGCTCGCCGCTGGGCACAAGTGTATTTCAAATGGTCCTCCATCAGTACACGCGGAATCATCGCGCCACATTTATTGCTGCAGGGGACTGCGTCGTGTTTGCAGGTATTCAGGTGAGCCTAAACAGGATATAATGCGATTTTTACATTAGGCGCAACTTGAACGGTGCATTCCTTTTACTTCGATCGAACCTTCGGATCTACGCTCGTATTGCGACAATCAGAAGGAAACTTGGGTGAACGAACCGTATACCGAAGATTGAAGGAATAATATTTAATAAAATTAAAAAAAGAGCATTGAAAGATGAAACAGTGAATATATAAGAAGTTTTATCACTATTTAAATTTTAATTTTTTAACATTATCGAATTAGTTTTTCAAAATTTTGGGCTAATTTTAAAATAAAATGTTTCGATTTATTAATATAGATAAAAGTCAGAAAAAGGATGGTAAGGATTTAATTGCTCAAAATCAATTTTTAAGTTAAATGATATTTTATAATAGCTTCTTACAGGATTCTTTTAACAATGGAATTTTCTCATTATTGTTCATATCAAGAAGTACAAAGCCATTTATAGCGACTATTTTCCACTTATAGAATATTTTTAACTCGCAATTTATCGAGAGGTCATGCAGAGTTTGATAATGATAATAGAAGAAGAGATGATAATTGTTCTTATAAATGACCGGAAGGCCGACACGAGTTATCCTTAAAACGCGTGGGAGTCGTAACAGTGCCGAGACCAGTTCAACGACCTATCAATGCAAGGTCGCTTAAAGATCAGAAATGCATAATTAAACAATTTTGGAACCATATTTGTATAGTTGGGAAATTTTTAATATTTTGTACAAAGAACAATAGAATCTTAATTCTCATTATCATAAATTTCATATTTTAATTATTACAATCGTACATGATTATTAAAATTGAAAATCCATATTTGTATCTGGCACAAAATATTTTGATAACAATTACTTTTTAAACAATTGATTCTGATCAATTTTTTCTTTCTTTTAAACTTCCAAAATTTGAAAAAAGACAAAAAATAATAAAAATTACCTTTAATTTCCGAAGTTCGTCCGACCACTTGCACCCGTCCTTATGATGTATACAGTACACAATGGATCCCATTATTGCCTTTTCTGCTTCCAGATCCTGGAAATTCTGCAACACACAAAGAGAACAACGATCTTATCCATTGTTTCCTCCAATTTCCAATGCAAATAGCCATCTTTCCGCTCAAAAAATTACAGTCTATCAAATCGTTTCGACTCGACTCGACGAAGCGAAAGTAGATCAATTAACGAAACTTTACAAAATCATGACAATTTCGTGTTTGTTCCTGAGAAACAGAGGAACGATGGATCGTGGAATAATCATCTTCAATATTTTTGAATCTGAACGAGTGGATCGTCGAACTGTTTTGGTGTTCATCCAACGAAGAACGTGGGTAGCGATTAATTGGGTAACAGGTAGTTGTTACCAGGCACTCCTATCTACGAGTGTGCACCTCTCATGCCCAATAAACAAGTCGTTTGACATTCCATCCACTGGTGAAATATGGTAATCAATTTTCAACTACGCATCTCTAAACCGGCGATTTCTGATCCTACATTTCATTTTGTTAGGAATTCTTCAGATATGCGGTTTCGTACGAAATCTTTTCCTGGCTGTTTTACAATCGAGAGATAATAGTGATAAATAAAGATCGAGATAATGGATCTTTTTGTCGTAAGTTTTTAAAAGTTTTTGAGAAATCTTGTTGCAGATACAATTTATTATTTAAGATATTAGATATTCTATATTTATTTTAAAATATAAAGAGTAGAATATTATCTTAAAATTTTATAATTATCCTATATATCATGTTATATCATTTAAGATTTATTCGAAATAGAATTAAATTGTATCTACATAAATCAAATGGTTCCTTAAACTTTTCAATAATTCTCTTTTTCTTTTACAATATTTTTCAATTCCATGAAAAATAAAACTCAAAGTTGTTTCATCATAACTCGAAAACTACGATATACGTAACACATTTCAAACAAAGAATTAGCACTACAATCTCTATTTGTGTAAAAATCTATTTATTCTTGATAACGCTAGTTAAAATTGTGTAAAGTTACAGATTTTCGAATACAGGAAAATTTTTTTAAACAATGTGACGACGATAAAATTGATATTGAGTACTTACAAACAATGCAATATTGAACTTAGAAATAAAAATTCTGTCATTACAAGTATTCGATACTCGTAAATCAGATAATATCCAGTCAATTGATAAAGTTTACTAGGTCTAGTTCATATAGACAATTTTCTTCTAAAACATGTATTATATACATGAAAATAACATTAAAAATTTGAAATGACTATGGAACAATGTAATCGGTTATTTAATCCTTAATTATTAAGTGGCTGCTGGTAATTTCGCTTCAGTGATTCTTATGATGCTGTTTAAATTAAATGATAGACTGTATCGATAAACACAAGCTTTCATTGTTTGTATGCTAAATAAGAATCCCATTAGTGCCATAGTGAACAATTCCATCAATGACTATCATTTTATTTCTTTAAATTTCTTTTGAATTTAGTTTGGATTTAATTAATAAGTAATAATTCAAATGCTATATATTTTTCTTATGTCGATGTAATTTTCTATTTTAACATTATTATTTATTTTCTAGTTGTCAATATCGTACGATGATGTCATAATATTGCATAAGATACTGCTAAGAACTTCTGCTAACTTAGATTTTTTACGTTGAGATTTTTACAAAATCTAATTTAGATTTAATGAAAATTTCAAAGCAAATAACTATTCAATTTAAGAATAAAATTAGAATAGTATTAAATAAGTAATGTTATAATATTAAAAATTGATATGCAGAATAACATTATATTTTTATATAAATGATAAATATATAAAATCTAAAGAGGAGAGAAGAGAATAAGAATATTTTTCCTTTCTAAATTATATTTACAAGTACAAGATATCATAAAATGATATTGAATTTTAACGTTACATTTTTTTTAATATTGTAACGAGTTTAAATTAATTCCTAACTAAATCAAAATTTAAAGTAGATTAAAGTAGGCTATAAGAACACTTTAGAAGCAAATGCAAAACATGTTCGAAGTGGACAAGCGATAAAATGGCTGAAAATACACGGGAAAACAAACGGTGGATGAACGGTGTGTAACAACTGTCTAATAAATCTAAATCCGTCTGTGGAAGACTTTCCCCATTACAAAGGAGGTATGGGTACAGCATATGGGAGGCGGCATACAAATCTTTTTAGAATTTTTATGCCATGTTTCTGGTTCCAGGAAGAACCATCGACCATGGCAGTCGACGAAGAAGTCGTGACGGTTTTCGGAAATAGCGAGGTTCAATAATAACCCTGATGCAGGAGGTGAACCCGTACCGAGAACCATGCAGGAGGCGAGAGAACTGGAATAAATTTAACGCGTTACGTCGTGCATGGAAATAATTATTGGTTCTACTATTAATACATGATACGATTTTTAATAAATCATTATTCGAAGTTATCTAATTCCTTTGCAATAAATTATTAGACAATCAAAAATTAGTATTATTTTTAAATGAATCAACATAGAATTTCATCCATTTGGATGCCAACACTTAGATGATACTTCTTAAGTATTTTTGATCTCTTTAAAATTACTTTCTGTATCTTAATACTAATGATTCTATGATTTTCAGGATTCCTCAATTTGCGATCATACAATAGTTTTCCAAAAAAAAAAAAAAAAGAAAAAAGAAACTATTACAAGGAACTTTTAATAATCATTTCCACTGGAAGAAATTTTTGTCTCCAAGAGACGTAATAAAAGGGCATAAAATCTCTCAAAAATTGTTCATTGCTGAGACTTTAGATTCACAGAAAAGTTCATCACGCAAGAATTCATCAAGATCATAAGTATTAGAAATTAAATAAACCACAATACTCGATCAGTAATTATTCAATCCTTTTAATCATTAATTTGATGCTAATATAGCTTTCATTTTTCAGATATCGTGTGCCGATATATAATACATTCAACTTCGAATCAGACATTTTCACGCAGGTACACCCAGTATAGATGTCTGTAGGTGCCTGCAAGTTGAAACCTGCACGACCGGCAAGGTCGAGGAACCTAACGCAACCAGCCACCGCCGGCGCGATATAAACACCGCCGGGAATGGAAGAGACAGACCTACCTCTTCAGTTTCGAGATTGCGAAAAAAAAAAGGAAGAACACAAAGAAATAAGAACCGACCACGCCATAATACCGGGAAAAATACACTTACACTGGTCGTGATCGAGACTTCATTTCACTCCGGTCTTCTACTTTATAGCCTTTGTTCATTTGTCTACGACTTTTCGTCCTAAAATGGAAAATCTTTCTCTGTATATGGTATGTTGAAATTCGAGTTTCGATTATTTATAGTTAAAAAGTTGTTTTTTTTTCAGAAATATGATTGGATACTTACACACTTTTATATATAAATTCAAATTTTTGAGATTTAATATGATTTGTGAACTGAAAATAGATTAGACATGCATTAAAATTTTGGAATATATAATAATTAAATTTATTAAAAAAAAAATTATGTTAATTGCATGTAAAATAATGAAATTTTATAATTTTAATGTAATTATATAAATTGGAACGTTGAATCCAAGATTTATTTCTTTTTGAGATAAAAAAAAAAGAAGAAAATAAATATAAAAAATATAACATATACAAAATATAATTTCTTTTGAAATAAATGTTTTGCGTCGGAAAGATTATTCTTTGTGATGAATATAAATGGCAACTGATAAGTATATCCTTCTGGCGATGATGGATTATGTTTAATTAGAAAGATAATAACGTGACTTCGTAGAATTGGTGAAGCGTGTATCATTAGGTAGAGTTTGGAACAATCGAAAGGAAGCCAGGCGACGAATTAATTAAAACAAAGAGCGGCCAATTAAGCCAACGGCGGGCAACGATCTCGCGTTGCGCAAGTTCCGTAATACCGTCAAAACGAGACGGTGCTTTCTCTTGGGAAACTAAGCGGCAACAGAAAATTGTATTACCGAAAGTATAATGTTACATAAGTTTGAAAGTTTGATAATAAAATGATGCGTCTTCGCAAATATCAAAGATCGATGTAACGATTGGAATTTCATGTTTTAATCTCTATGAATTCGACATATTTAAATATACATTGAATTCAAATTTAAATATTTACATTGAAACAAATATCGCTTCATTCAACAACTTACAAGTTAATTCAAATGTATATAAATATAGTAAATTCTCAGTTTTAAAACAATTAAAAGTCTCATTCATGAAAGATTCCAATATTCGTGGCATACAACGAATATTTCAAATTCCTCGCAAAACAGGAATATAAATACGGATTATTTAATCAAAAACTTCCAATCAAGTTTTAAATCTCAAGATACGATATTTAATAATCTCATTAATCTTAATAATTTGTTAATCTATCAAATCATAAATAATTGGATTTCTAATTCCTCTAATTGCAAGAGACAATATAAATTAATAAATATAAATAAATCTATTAATCTCATTTTATCAATAGATACTTTTATCAAGAAATTATATCTTTTAAAGAGGTTTTTTCAAAAATATAGCATAAGCCACGGTATAAAAGATTTATTATCATTAATCTCATTATTTTATTAACGTCAACTACTTGTCAAGTCAAACGATTAAATGTTTAAAAGAGGTTCCTCTGATTGAATAGCGATGAATCCAAATGAATTCATGCATCTGATTCCACGAAACATTATAATGCTTGAACAAGCAAATTAGAATACCGACACGAAGCATCGCGAGGCTAACATCACGGGTAGTTTCTCTCCATAGCGTTCTTACAGCGGTTACAAGTCGTTGTGACGTCACAGCGAAATAACGGACACAATCTTCGCGTACGTTCCACTTATTCTCGAGGACGATGATCATCTCTGCGTTATGCGGTCCCGCAGGAATTTTCTAACTCGGTCTGCCGTGTGAAAATTTTCTAGAAACGAGGAAAATCGTTAAATAACCATTTTAACACAGGTAAATAAGAAATCGAATTGAATTTATTTAAGAATTCGATGTGTATACCTCAACTTTTTTAATATTCTTTTTAAATGTTTCATGCATTCAAGATCTTCAGAATTTTACACAAAGTTGTTTTCATTTTGAAATGGATAGATAAAAAAATTAATAAGATTCTGAAAAGAAACGAATGATAATTATTATATCGTCAGTAGATATTTTTTAAAATGCAAATAATTTTTAAAAATACATTTATAAAATTCGATTCTTCGAGAACTGATACATCAGGCAAGGAACGCACAGTATTTTAATGAAACGGAAAGCAGTCTGACGAGAGTGTCCGGTATTCGAAAAATCTTCCACTGATATTAGCGATGCACGAACATGATGGTTACGCATTCGAATCCAACGGGTGAATCTCATTTTTTTTTCGTCAACTCGAAACCATGCGACCTTGACAACTCGATGACTAAATATTAACATATCATATCTCTCGAATCGCTACGCTTGTTAATTTGTTTCAAACTAAAATTCCTCAACAAACCTAGTTCACAGAATTCATAATTTCGATCATTTCTTTTTTATAATCTTTTAATCCATTGATATCATTATTTAAATTTTTATTAAATTTTTCATTTAAAAAAAATATAATGAATCATTGAAAAGACTATTATAGTCTTTTCAATTTTTATATCACCCTGTATTCATTTAAAAACGTAGCCTTCATTTATTCTAAACATATTACGTCTGATAATTAATGCACATAGTAGTTTATTATGAATGATCGAAATTACGCATCAACGAATTAAAAATCGATTTTTCGACTATTGTATATACAGTTTGTATCAAACCATTATTTTACATGATTGAAATGCACGTTAAGTTCAATAATTACAGGTTGTTCGCTTGATTTCGAGTTTCCCGTCGTAGAATCGCTATTTGCGGATCGATCATTCTAGCCGGAGGAAGACAAGATGATCGCGTGCGAAAGGAAAACTTCCGGTCGGTTACAGAGCTCATGATCCATCCGAGCTCGCCCGTACACTTCAAATCCTATAAATTAGAGATCGTGGGATGGCATTCAAAGATTTTCTAGTGGTAATCTTCGTGATCCATGAATTTCACACATAGATTTTGCATGGATTAATCACACAATGGATTGTTAATTAAGATCAGGTTCACCGGTTGTTTCACCGAAGCGAGAAAAGTCGATGGAAAGAGAACTTTCATTTCTCTATCGTTGAAGATTTTTCTTGACATTGGAAAAATAGAACATTCCTTTCTTTGTTCTCATGGAAAGAATCGTAACATAAAATTTAAGGGTTCCAAGAAAAGTTCATGACCCATGAACGAGCATAATTTTAGAATTTCAACAAGGCCATTTTAATTTCAAACAGTTTTGGTAGTTGTATCTCGTTTAAAACATTCTAAAAAATCAAAAATTAATTTTATTCGAAATATACAATTAAAATATGTATTTATACATATTCAAACGAGCAATTACATTTAAAAATAATGTAATTAAGAATTAAGTAAAATATATGATTTTTTCTGGAATTTTTTTCAAAAATAATGATTAATGATTTTTTCAAATTATATTCAAAATATACATTTATAAATGACCGATTTAGATATATTTTTGTGTACAAATTCCATTTGGATGTTATATTTAAGAAGACGACTGGAGCGATAGAATTCCAAGTAAAAGCGCTACCGATAGCCTTTTATCTTTCGAGCACGTTTTTCTGGTATCTTATCTAGTCACAGGAATCTACAAACTTTTAAATTTTGACCAAATGCGGCTCATTCTCTGTGATGTTATATCAGGATCCATGATCATTGTATTTTTACATAATCTTAACAAAATAAATAAATGTATTCGTAATAATAATGCAATCAAAAGATACCAAAGACAGTCCAATCATTACGTAAATAAGCACAATAATAGTTGCTATTAATATTAATCACTGACAATCATCAAAGATAGATTTCTTGTTATTTATTATCAATATTTAAAGAAATTAGAAATTCTTGAATTGTGAATAAATATTACGTGTTTAAGAGATATAAATTGTTTCCCAATTAAAAAGATAAAAACGGAATGGATTACGGAACTTCAGTACCGATGGAACGCTTCAAAAGTATCCAAGAAAATAGATAAGGAAAAAACTAATGGTCACACTTCAAGAACTCTGTTAAACGTCTATCACTGATTGTCTTATATATCTATTTTCTTAAATCATGTAGTATCAGAAAGAGAGAAAAAGATAGAAGTTGTTCATTACAATGGAATGCGTAGAGAGAACAATACTGGAAGAAACAGGCACCATGGCAACTTCCGGTCGCAAAGAAGGCGGTGGCCTCTATGAGAAGAGAGACGGGGATTGCTTTTAAATTAACACGAAATAATTACAGCGACTTGTAAGTATTTGCGTTATCTCACATTCCCCATAAGAGTCACTGTTCATATGTAACTTAATAAAAACTAATTAGAGATACTTCTTACAGACAACTAATTTAGTCATATTTTTAGGAATTATTCAAAGCCAATTGTCCTGTAAAAAGTAATGAAGAAATCAATATGATTGGTTTGTAAAATAATTTGCAATTAAATAATTGAGAAAATAGAATGATGATAGTCTTCACTATAATTCAAATTCTTAAAGCTTTTTTATACTCTAAAACAAGAGCTCATAATTATTTCTGACAGTTACTAGAATGCAAACATAAAAAGTAACAGAGAGTTTCTTGTAATGCGTTTATATGTATATCATTCTTCATTAAACTGTGATAATATCACTCTTCATTAAACTGTTTTAATGATCCCATAGGTCACAGAATCATGGTGATAACTAAAATGATGTGACGATTTCTACATAAGCATTATTTTCTGAAGATTATGTATTTATGATATTTCCTCCGACAATTTCCTGTATTGTCATCAGTTTCTAATTCGCGAAATTTCGTGACAGATTGGTTAAACTCATTGGAATTCAGATTACCTAAAAATAATTTTATTATTACTGTCTATCATGTTAATGTTTGCATTTTACTGAATTATAAAAAATACTTGATATCTAAATTAAATTATTTACCTATTATATTTATAATAAATGAACTTTTAGTACCTTTATTCAGATATATATGTGCATTCGATTTTATTATTAATACAATAATATAATGCATTCAAACATGTAGTATATCTGAATGCTTCCTAAGACTTTACCGGTACACAATATTGAGTTAAGCACTAAAGTTGCCAGCTAATATCTTCTATTAATTCTTCTATAATTTTTGTTTTGCATCATTGTTAACCTCTCAATCTATTCTTCGCTGTCAATCAAATGACATACACTTCATAAGTTAATTATGTAATCTTGTTTCTTTTAATATTATTTATTTCTTTATCTCATGATGGCAGTAAAAATATTTTGCAATCTACGTGTCAATTAATATTTTCTTCTTCGAAAATTAAAATATTCATTTTATCGATTTCTTGAACATTTTGCAATTTTTTCGATTATCTTGTTTAAAATTAAAAAAGATTTACTATAATAGTAAATCTAAATATTATATACTAACAATGATATTTCACAAGAAAATTATCAAATCTAATTATCTAAATTTTTGCGAGAATCGAACTGCATCGATACATAGAACGTACGAAACGCGCGAGAACGGAAAGCAAATCCGATGCTACGAAGGTGCACGAAAGAGGCCGAGCGGGTTCGGAAGCAGCCGAGGCCATCTGTTACGCTCG